CGGGAGTTACAGGGCACTCCTCCTTACTCCAATAAACAGATGGACTCAAGTTACAGAGTGCCTTTGCTACCCCATACCACAACCTGGTATCAGGCCAACCCGGCATCCTTCTTTCCGATCCCTCTCCCTTCCCCCTCCGCAGCCTCTTAAATAGGTCCATGTCAAACATGGGGGGAATCCCACTGCTGACACCAATTGTCTTAGAATGAACTACTGGGTTCAGGAGATTCCCTGCTTTTGAACAAAGGATGTACTCACGATTGTTCTCACTCTTGCAAAGCTTTATTTAAGGATACTCGCAGAGGCAGGCAATAAGACAGAGCAGAGAGGATGATCACTTCACATTGGCTCTAGGCAGCAGCCGCTACCCTGCATAGTTCCCCTGGCCCTGGAGTGTCTCGATCCCGGGGATGCGATAGTCTGCGTCGGGCTCTGCGCAAGTCAGGATTCTCGCCAGAGTTTGAGGAGCTCTCTTAATTTAAGAATGTACATCTTGTATAGTCTGGAGTAAATAACGTTATCTCGAACTAGGGATTTGGTAATCTCAAGCTAAGAATTTGGGGATGAGTCGTGATCCAACATACCTGGTGTTTACCACATTCCACTGTGTTACAACATTCTACTATCTAGGTTCATGGTTCGGTCACTCTCGCAAAGCAAAAAGCTATGTGGTGTAATACTAGCCTACTATGGAGTCAGCATACAAAACTCTTGCTATGAGCATTAAGCAAAGTCCTTACTAGTACAGGCCTAAAACTGGTTGCGGTACTCCAGTTGAGGCCTTACCAGTACTGAATAGAATGGAAGAATCTCTTCCCTTGATTTGTGATTTGCAAGTGACAGTCCCCATTAATATAAGCCAGTATATTGGCTTTTTTGCAACAGGAGTACACATTTGGCTTATGCAGTTTATGGTCTCTAATCCCTCACTGCAGTACTGCAGTTTAGCCAGGCATTTCCCAGTCTGTATTTGTGCATGCAGTGATTCTGTTCCGAGTGCAGGTCTTGTACTTTAATGCACTGAAGAAGTTGCCAAGGCAGCTGCTTTCCTGCGCAGCTGTGCTCTGCATTGCAGTGCCAGGTTGCACCTGCCGGGCTGTGGAGGCCGTGGGGGAGGGCTGCAGGATGGGAGTCTGAGCCCACGGTGCACACCCTGTCCGCCCTGCACACAGATTTGGGGGACACTGGTCCCCCTTGGCTCCTGGGAGTGCACGCAGCAATGGGGAGCCGGCCTCATCCCCAAACAAGCTGCCTGTGGCCCCATCCTGCTCCCTGCCAGGGCCCTGCAGCCATGCATTGCAGCCCCAGGCCCCAAGTCTAACACAGTGCCTGGCAGGGCACCAGCCCCAGCCCTGCCCAACTCCTTCCCTCTCTATGGGAGCCTGAATTCCACCGTCCACTCCACACGCAACTCAAGGAGCTGCATCAGGCTACCTGGGGCCGTGTGTATGTATATTCTATTCCTGTTCTCTGCCAGCCTGCAGGAAGCTCGCTGCAAAACTGCAAAATCCATGGGTTTCTCTGCTAAAATGAGAAATCTATTTTACTCCAGTAAGGGGGAAAATCCATGTTTTATTCTGTTTCCCTAGGAAATGGGAAACCCAGATTCCTGGTTATCATAAAGCACTGAAGGAATTTGCTGGTCTGCTTGTGCTGTGCTGTGTTTCCCTCCTAGCGGAGAACTTGATAATTAACGTTCTCCATGACGGCCAAGTCCTGCAATTTGGAAGCTCCTGTCATTTATTTAAAGCAGACCATGTCCATTTCCTCTTCCGGGTGTGGAAGTCTGTAGCAGACACCCACCATGACATCATTTTCCCCCCCCCGCTGTTCTCCAGGGTTTTCAACAGGCCTACCTTCCACTTTATATTTACCTTCAAACATATATATCGCTTTATAAAAGGTATGACAACACCTCCTCCTTTTTTACCTGTCCTTCCTGAACAAGCTATGACCATCCATAACTGTACTCCAATCATGTGAACTATCCCACCACATCTCCATAAACTCAATTGCATCATAATTCTGTGCTTGTACTAGGACCTTCTATTTTTTCAGTTTGTTCTTCATACTTCTTGTATTAGTATATAAACATTTAGAGAAGTATCAGGAACAAAAAGGAAGAATTTTGATTCAAAGTAAGAAGGCTGAAGCATTTCTTTCAGAGGTATAAACCTGTCAAGCCATCTTAGAAAGAAGCAGTGACTTTGTGTCTTCAAAAAGCTAATTATATCCTGATGGCCTCTACTTGGGGGGGAGGCAGTGGTGACGCGAAGGGGGTGTACAGGAGTGCATGTGCATCCCCTGAGGGCGTTGGTGCACCCCTTGTCAGCCAGCATTCCCAGGCAAGGGGGACAGGCGAGAGTGGTGATGTCCTCCTGAGAGCACCACCTGGGGAGTGCTCCAGGAGAAGCAGTCCCCCTACGGCTAATCCCGCTGACCCAGAAGTGCCAGTGGCGTGCCACTGCCAGTTGCTGGTCGGCAGGATCGGCTGTGGCGGAACCAGCTCCCCCTCACTGGCCTGTGGGATCGGCCATAGGGGACACCCCCCACCCCCCTACTGACTGTGCAGTCAGAGGGAACAGGTGCCCCCCCGACTTGGAAGGCACCAGTTGCCCATGGGGGGAGGTCTTTAGGAAATAGCATACAGCTACTCGTTGCTTAACGTTGTAGTTATGTTCTTGAAAAATGCGAGTTTAAGCGAAATGATGCGAAGCAAATCTAATTACATCACAGTAGTTACCTACTAGCAGGCAGCAGCCAAACAAAGTTATAACTGAACATTGCACGACTTTAAATGAGTATGTTCTCTAATAGATCAGCGGCATAATAATGAAACGACGTTCGTAACCGGGACAACATTAAGTGAGGAGCACCTATACTTTTATTCTGCAGAGCTGTTGCCTCTTTAATTGTAGCAGCAGTGTGAAGACAAATGTTTCCCCCCTGTGTGGATATAGCATTATTGGCAGTATTTTTTTTTCTGTTGCCAGAGCTATGCCAGCTGCCACAAATGACAGAAACTGTGCCAGCAGAAGCTGCCTTTTCGTTCCTTTTTGCATACATGTTGGGTGGAGTTGCTGACAGATAGTTGTCTGTGGGAATCCTGAGTCAACTTAGGGGGAATCCTAAATTGATTTAGGATTCCCCATCCCCTCCTCCTCCCTCCCCAACACATACAAAGTTTTGCCATGTCTTTTAGGTAATGCAGGCAAGACCCAAGCCGACTTTTTAAGGGTCTAATAGATTATTATGTTTCCTTCTTCAAAAGAAAGTTTGTTAATTTCCATAATCAGTACAGTCTCTTCACTGTCAGATAGAGGGGTATAAATAAATTTTAAGGTGGTAGTCTGAATATTTGATTTATCCAATTTGGATTATCAAGACTAGATTACTAGGTAGACCAGTTTTGCAGTTGTAGAGTTGCAACTCTGTAGGCTGGAAAATGATTTTTTCCTTATTGTGAAAGTGTACTTCCATTTTAAAAGTTTTGCATGCTTATGACCAGATACATTAGAAATGGCTTTTGCATAGCTCTCCTGTGTTTCGTTTCTTGAGCTTTGCTGGTTAATCCTGCTGACCTTAAATGAGGGAGGTGGTGGTGGTGGGGAAAGTGGTGGAAAAACAGGGGAAAGTGTAGGACCAAAGCATCATTGTAATGGTAGCCACACAATCATACCTTACTACTGCAGCCTGGGCCTTGTATCTGGATGGCTTGCCTAGAATATGAAGAATTACATTTAACTGCATTTCTAGTTGCTTAAAATAGTCTTTCTGACCTTTTATTTTTCAGCTGTAGCAGAAGTGAAACTTCGAGATGATCAGTATACCTTGGATCATATGCGTGCCTTTGGCATGTATAATTACCTGCACCTTGACTCTTGGTACCAGGATAATATCTACTATGTTGATCAACTTGGAAGGGTTATGAATTTATCTGTGACTCTGGTAAGAATGAAGTATCCTTTAAATAAAATTAAAATAAGCAGAGCAGGAAAAACAACAAGAGAATACAGCCCTGGAGGGTGGGGGGAAGGAAACAACAGAAAAGCCAGGGATGTTATAAAAAGAGAGGTGCAGCCTATAAAGATTGGAAGGACTTGAAGTGAGGAAGACAAATGCAGGGAATGAAGGGCTTCAGTATGGATTTCTCTTGGGCCTTTTGTTCTTGTTCTTTGTTCTTTTCATTCTGAGTGTAGATAAAGTAATTACATAAGGAAGGTTTGCTTTTACAAACCAGAGTACAGGATAAATACATTGACACAAGGCAGGAGGCAGGTCTTCAACCTGGTTTGATTGTTCATACATGAGCACAAGTGTGTGTGGATGTCCCTTACAGTGGGATGCAGATTCTTTTATCCATCTGTGGGTGGACCAATACAGAAATATAGAATTACACTGGTAGCAGGACCTTTCTGGGGCTCCCTGTGTTTTCTCCTAATTTAACCTCTGATCAAGCCCATGTGCAGATGCACTTAACTCTAGCAAACGTCTTCTGATTGGCTAGTTTCTATTTGTCTTTCTGGGACTCCAGGAACTACCTTATTAAATCAGTTCTTCAATGATCCTGGAAATTATCAAATTTCTAAAATGTATGTCTTCGTCAAACTGAAGAGAGGATTTCTTGCCCTTTTATTACTGGCCTGGAATCTCTCTGTGTCACTTTCTTGCTATCCTTTTCCTACTTCATGGTCACATGAATTAATCTACCCTCATACTTGCATTGAAAGCTTCCAACAATTTGGCATAAGCACACAATTATAGTTTAGCAGTACATGCCTACAGAAAATTACCTGACTTACTAATTGTCAATGTAAGATCATACATCCATGTAACGATGTATGATATCAAAGCAACTAAGATGACAGTATGCACATATGCATTCCATATGCCATTTTAATTTTTTACCAGCCTTATTAAGACTAAGGCCTCCTAATAAGTGTTTTCCTGTTAGTCAGGGGCAGGCAAGTATTTTGGGTGGAGGGCCACTTACCAAGTTTTGGCAAGCTGTCAGGAGCCACATGGGTAGCCCTGCCCCTTGACAGGTGCCCCAGTCCCTGGTTGCCATCTTGGCAAGGTGTGTATATGTGTATGGTAAGGTATTTATGGGGTGTATGTGTGGGGGGGAGGGTGTAGCTATGGTTTTTGCAGGAAGGGTTTGAGGGTATGTAGTGTGTGCATGGGAGCCCCCCTTCGCACAGCCCCTGAGCCGATAAGCACCCCCCCCCAAACAGCCCAGAGCCTGAGTGCCCTGCATTGCCTCCCCACCACTGCTAACAACATGCAGCCTCAGTGTGCCCTGCACACACTGCACTGCCCAGCCTGTGGCGTGTTGGCATGCAGCAGTAGCGGCTGGGACCAATGCGCACTGCTACAACCTTTAGTATCCTCCACTGGCTCCAGGCTCTCCTGTCCAGGCTGAGCAGAACAGCTGGGTGGAAACTCTTCTACAGGGGAAAGCAGCCCCTCGCCACTGCCAGGCAGTTCTTCATGCAGCCACCCGGAGCCTGCGCCATGCTAAGCTGCCCTGCAGCTCCATCACCTCCACCTGTGAGCTGCCCTATGGCTGCTCCACCCTGTCTCCATTGCAGTGCTGGGTAGCCCAGAGGTGGTGGTGACGGAGCCACAGGGCAGCCGGGTGTGGCACAGGCTCTCGGCCACACCAAAAACTGCCTGGTGGTGGTGAGACGCTGAAGCTGCTGTTTCTCAGCCTGGATGGGTGAGCCTGGAACTGGTGCTGGGGTCCAGTCTCAGCAGTGGTGGCGTGGGAGCGAAATTGCTGCTCAGCACAGGAGTGAAAGCAGCCCCTCCCCCTCCTGCTGCCCTGCATCTGCTCTGCACTGCCACTGCTGCCCCACAGGGCAGCCCAGAGACAGCAGTGACACGGTGGAGATGCAGGGCAGCCCCACACGGGCTTCCGGCGGCTGCACTAGAGAGAGGGAGGGACTGCTTTCCCCCACGCTGAGCAGCAGTTTGTCCAGTGCTGCCACTGCTCAGCCCAGACAGGTGAGTGCGGGGTGGCCCTGGCTGGCATGGACTCTTATGGAGCTGGGCCAGCTCCCCTCTCTCCTGCTGGTGCAGCCCAGCAGCTCCCCTCTCTCCTCTTGCTGGTGCAGCCCAGCCCAGCCCAGCTCCATAGATCTCTGCCACCCCGCTCTGGGCTCTGTTAGCACTGGCCCCGGGACACTGGTGCGGGCTCCACACACCCGCTCACTTCCATTCTCCCCCACTTCCCTGCCACTGCTTTCCCCACTTTTTTGCCTGACCCCCAGCTGCTCCTGCACTACGTGGCTCCTGGCTGCATGGCCATGACTACAGAACTCAGCAGGAGCTGGCCCAGCCCCAAGGACTGGGGCAGTTTGCCAGCAGTCCTCCCCTGCCCCCTCCGTCCCTCCCCACCCCCCATCTTACCTGAATTTCTTGCTCCAGTGTAGACAGGCACAAACAGCCTCACGGTCCCAGGCCACATGTCTCTGCAAGTCAGGGACTTCTGGCTGGAGGGTGGGGCTGGGTGGGCCTTGCTGCTGGGTCCTGCCTTGGCTTCCCTTAGTTCCTACCATCTCTGGCTCCTGTCATCTTTAACAGGCAGCCAGGGGCAGATAAATATTTATTTTCTACAATACTCCTGTATAAAAGATGCTCATAATTAAGACTCTGTGTGCTTGTTACGTGAAATTATTCCGCTTGCACCTTGTATTGCTAGCAATAAATCTTTATACTTTCACCCCTGGTATCTTTATTGGCTTTTGCATACTGGGCACGATCCCAGACTTGAGCTGGGGCTCAATGGGTGGGCCTTGCTGCTGGGTCCTGCCTTGGCTTCCCTTAGTTCCTACCATCTCTGGCTCCTGTCATCTTTAACAGGCAGCCAGGGGCAGATAAATATTTATTTTCTAAATTTTTTAGGGGCCCTGCAAGCTGGATAGAATGGCTTGGTGGGTCTAGCCCATGGGCTGTATTTTGTCCACCCCTGCTGTCAGCCCTTTTTTGGCTTCATTCAAATCTGCAGTTTAGGTTAAGCACTCTGCTGAAAACTCCATTTGCAACGCTTTCAAAGTTTATGCTATGGTCATTTAAGACAGTTTTTACACAAGTCCAGAAACGACCAATTCACTTTCCAAGAGGATTGCTCAGTCTGTTGATGATATCCAGAGAGCACACTGGATAACTGGAAGAGTTTAATGCATTCTATTTCAAGTAGATAGACGTGATATCTACCTCTGTTGCCAGTTTGATACTTAAGAAAATCCTTTTACAGACATTAGGAAGTGACAAAATACTCCTATGATGTATGCTTTATTGTAGTCACTTTGCAGAGGAGCTGCCCAGGTTTGTACAGAATCTTTGCCCTTTGCTCTGAGAACAAACTCAAAATGAAAGTGCTGAGAGTTGATCATAGTCATACAGTTGTGCTGAGCTGATGCTTGTGTAGTCAGATCATTTGTCAACCTAGTTGAGGAGAAATAGTTCTAACTTAGGCTGAAGCATAGTTTCTCAACCTGTGGTACGCATACCCCTGAAAGTATGCGAGACAGGCAGCGGGTACTCGGGTACCTCAGCACTCTCTTGCCCTCTTTTCCTCTCTCTTTCTCCTCTCAAACCTATGGTAAAAATTTGGTGTGCCGCACGTTGCGCAGTGCTTTAAATTCCCCAGTAGTAATTTGGTGTTCAGCCCTCCTAGTTTTGGCCAGCATCACCTCTAGCCCAGGTACATACTTGAGTTGTGCACCACTGGTGTAAAAAGTGGCAATCCTACCCATACCAGCTCAGACATCTGTCATGTCATGGGCCTTACATACACAGCCCATCTTCCAACATATGGCGCACAGTCTGTATATATAAAATCCCCTGGAAAATTGAGTGTTGGGGTACTTCTGAAAATTTTAATAAGTTAGGGGGTTCTTGCTGCTTAAAAGGTTGAGAAACTGGGCTGAAGCACTGTGGATGTTTAAAAATTCTTGCACAATCTCAGCTGGATTGTAGTTTTGTTGAATGAAAGGACTATATATGCCTTACTGGAAGTCTTTAAAAGGATGTGCTTTTATATTCTTCAAATGTGTTCAATTTGTCATTGAAAAGACTATAAAATGCATAATCTGTTTTGATCAAAAAGGCACTAAACTTGTAGAAGGTATTGGAAGAACCTAGGAAGACGCTTGAAAAAATATTGATGCAGGGTCTGCAGAAATCTGACTTGATCTAATCAATGACCTAGAACTCAACAAGAGGGGAAAATGTAAAGAAGCTGTAAAGTTTTTCATCACTGCCAAACGCACAAATCATAGGTGAAACCCAGAACAAGAGCAGTGCTACTTGCTCTCATGATTTAATTTTAAGTCTTACAATATTCCGTGGGGTTTCTTTTTCCCTTCCTTAAAGCCCCAGGTTCTGAAAAGCTAAGTTTCATGTTTCTTTAGGCAGACTACAAAAGTGGGCAGACAAGAATAGGATGGGGTTCAACGTAGACAAATGCAGGGTGCTGCACCTTGAGAGAAGGAATCCACAGCATACATACATACAGGCTGGGGAGTTCCCTTCTTGAGAGCACAGAGGTGGAAAGGGATCTTGGAGTCATTATTGACTCCAAGATGAACATGAGCCGCCTTGACTCCAAGATGAACATGAGCCGCCAATGCCCCCCGCCCGCCAGCAAGGCCAGCCATACCTTGTCATGCATCCAAAGGTGCATCTCAAGCCGGTCCAGAGAGGTGATCCTCCCCCTCTATGCGACTTTGGTCAGGCCGCAGTTAGAGTACTGCATTCAGTACTGGGCACCGCACTTCAAAAGGGATGCAGTGCCTAGTATTAGTTTCCATCCAGTATTGAAAATTTCATTTTAATTTTTTTTTTTAATTTGGTAAGAATCCCCTGGAAAATTCTATTTTGATCATTTCCAGAGATGCGTTCCAGTGTGAACGCAGTACTAAACATTAGAATTTGGGGCTTTA